CTGGCCCACAGGTTGTTGGCTCAGACTTGGGGTCAATTGCAGAAATGATCGCCCGCCCCCTGCACACCACCCCGAGAATGAGTGAGGGGCTTGTGAGCTTCAATTTCCAAAAACAATACTGGAAAGAAGACTCAGAGGCTGGTCCCCGGGCCAAGAAGTCCTCCTGGCAACCTGCCAGGCACTGCCTCCTCCTGGAAGGCGGACGTTCAGCCAAACACTCCTCGCAGCACCCCCCAGGGGTCGCTCGATCCCTAGGGAGGCACTTTACCCACTCAGCTGTGGGGGCTGTGCACGAATGCGAGCACACCCTGGCAGGGACGGGGAGCAGGAGAGGTTGAGTCCCCGAACCACACAGCCAGTGGTAAGGGGGAGCCCAGTCTGGACGCCCCCCAGCCATGAATCCCTCACCAAGGACTTTGGACATTAATTCCCTATCCCCTTGGAGACATCTGGCCCCTGACCCAGGAAGGCCCCTAACCAGCTTCGACTCAGTGACAACAGAGCCAGTGTTTACTTGGAACAAAGCACCATGGGGAAATGGAAGCTGAATCAGAGCTGGCCAGCCCCCGCAGCCTGGTGGGAACATTAGGGCATGTCCACACGTCTTCAAGGGAGAATGGCCAAGCGCTCTCAGAGAGGCCCAGGGAAGAGGCCTGGGGTGGGGGCGAGCAGGGAAGGGGCAATCACTTGATGCAGGAAGACCCAAGTCCAGGAAGGCTTTCTGGAGGAGGTGGCATTTGAGCCTTGAAGGATGGGTAAGAATTTGTTAGGTTTTGGGGAGGGATATGGAGAAAGGTGTTCTAGAGGAGATAACCACCCAGGCAGAGGCAAGGGGTGGAAGCAGAAAGGGTAGAGGGAGGGGCTGGAGAACATGGTGGGGGGGCACAAGGACAGCACACTGGAAGTGCAGGTGGGGGCCACTTATGGAGGACCCTGAAGGTCTTGCTGAGATGGGACTTTATTCAGGTGGCAGTAGGGAGCCTCTGAAGATTAGGGAGCAAGAGAGTGGCATGCCCCAATAGGGGCAATGGGGAGACCAAGCTGGCAGCCTTGTTGAAGATGGCTGTGATGGCCCTGGTGAGCCAGGCTGCACGGGGGACAAGGGCAGTGGTGATGAAGGGGAGGACAGCGACAGTGTCCAGTCCCTGTGGGCTCTCAGCCTGTGCGGCGAGGCAGGCATCCCCGGCAGTGCTCAGCGGGCAGTGTGGGAGTGGGAGGGGAGGGGGCAAAGCAGGAACAGAGGGAATTACTCAAATCTCCCAGCCCAGCGCCACATCCAGGTCACCCCTGAGACTGGTCACCAGCCCTGCCCTCTCTGACCTGGCCCTTAGGTGGGGCCCAGAGCACTTAGTGGACAGCAGAGGAGGCCAGTGAGCAAGGCATCTGGGGAAGGGGTTGGCAGAGGGGCGCCAGCGGTGCTCAGGGCCACCCTAACTCCTCGGCGCTCTCTGTCTCTGTGTGAAAGGGAGAGAAGGCACCGTGGGCCCCTTTCCTCTGCCAGGAATGAAAACAGCTAACATTTATTTGCCATTACTCTTTGCCAAACACTGAGCAACGAATTTCATCCTCATAATAGCCAATGAGACGCGGGAGGTACTGTTACGCAACTCCCCCCCCTCTTTTCACAGAGGAGTTGAGAAATGCACAGAGAAGTTCAGTTTCTTGCCTAAGGTCACACAGCATACCATAGTTAAGTAGCTCACTTACTAACATGACACAATACTGCCCCTACAGGCAGAGCCAGGCTAGAGCAGAGTGTACTGCCAGCTTTGAAAAGAGATCCCAGCGCAGCATCATCAGCCACTATCCCTCCTATGGGGAGGTGAGGAGGGGGCGATGCTAAGTGGAACAGAACTCAGCCTGGTTCTTCCCCCTCACCCAAGGCCTGGCCCTCTGGGCTGGGCTGAGCCAGGCTGGGCAAGTCCTCTCACCCCAGTGCAGGGTTCCTCCATCCGGGACAGTGCCTTCCCGGGCCTGAAGTGTGAACCACCGGTGCTGGGCGTGAGGTCTGGAGACCTGCATGGTTCTGGGCGTGACGCAGCCCCTAATGTCTCGTGTGACCTGACCTTCCCACCCTCTGGGCTCCATTGCCTTCTTTGAGAAGAGAGGGGGTGGGCCGGCTGACCTCGGGGGCCCTTGCAGCTGGCCCTTGTGGGATGCACAATCAGCTCATTCTTTAGTGAACGGGCTGGTGGGCACAGCGAGTGCGTATGAAGACATTTCAAAGTGGCTGCTCTCGGGAAACCCCAGATGGAATTTGTCCTGGAATCTAGGGGGACCCGCTGACTGCATGTGGTCTCTGGGTCTCCCCGCCCCCGTGTCCACGCAAGCTGAAGCAGGCGCATGCGCACATGCACATGCTTCCCTCCCGCTGCCAGATTACGTGTCAAACAAGAGATGTTGACCCCGTCCGGGACCCTCCTTCCCCCAGACAAGAACAGTCCCCTCTCCGCTCAGTATCAGGGCCCCATAGTGCCCCACCCCCACCCGACCTCACCCGCCAAGAATGCTGGTGTCCCCAGGGCCATGATGGATGCTGATAACAGGGCCTGGTACTCCTGGCCTGGGCTGGGACCACCCACCACCAGACTCCTCCTCCCCCTCATCTGTAGGAAGGAAAACAGAAGGGCAGTTTGGTGTCATGGAAAAAACTGGGGGCCCAGAGGCAGGTTCCCGGAGCCCTCTGGACTCTGCCTGGTGACTCAGGTGCTAGGGACCTCACTTTCTCCACCACGAAGATACGGGGCAGGGGATGGAGTCTGTTCCTATGATACTTCAGGGACGTGGGTAGGATTGTCAGATTTAACAAACAAAAATACAGGACATCCAGTTAAATGTGAATTTCAGTTGAACAACAAATTTTAGTACAAGTATGTCCCAAATATTACATGGGATATACTTATACTAAAAGAAAAGTATTCAATGTTTATTGGAAGCTCAGATTTAATTAAGCATACTGTCTTTTTTCTGGCAACCCCAGATCTAGGTCAGGGGGTGGCCAGAGACACAGAAGGAAGCCACACCAGCCCCTCCCCACCCTCCTGCTCCTCTTCAGGGCACTGGTGCCTGCCTTATCCCTTCACCTCTTCAGCCCTCCTGGTCTCCCACAGCGGCCCCTCATGCTCTCCCATGCCCTTCTCGGCACCCTCATTTCGCTCCCCAGGGTACCCTCCTCCCTTAAGCTCCGCCATTTCCCTCTTCCATAAGGGCCATGTCTGCGTAGGGCTCCAGGCCCTCCAGGGTGCTGGGAGTGTGGGGGGATACCCCAGGCCTCCAGCCTGGTGCCGTGGGGGCAGATGGGGGCAGAAGGACCCCAGAAGCTCAAGTTAGCAGCAACTGCACTAAAGAGGCACAGGCGTGGGTGCTGTTGGGAGGAGGCTCCAGCACTCTTTGGACTAGGTCCCCCTTGGCAAGGGGCAGTCTGGGTCCACTGCCACTCCCAGGGGGAGGAGGGAAGAGTGCCCCCCACCCCGCCCCCCGCCTCGGCCGCTTCTCCAAGCTCACAGTCACCAAGAACTTCAAATAGAAGGGATTTTCTGGGGCCATATCCCAATTCCGCCTGGATCAGGAGACTGGAAGATTGTCCTCTTAAGGGCCGAAAAGGGCCAAGAGATCACGGGAGACAGAAACAAGGACAGAGGGAGGGACCAGGAGAGACCACGGGAAACAGACTCGGAGACCCGGGATGCCAGACCCACCCACTGACAGGGGAAATGGAGACAGACGAGAAAAACGGGCCCCTCCCTGAGACAAACGGAGGTTAACAGAGCCGGGAAACAGAGAAACACTCGGAAATTGGGAGCAACTGGGTGCAGACAGACGGGGAGAAACCAAAACAGAAAAGCAGAGACTGGGAGACGTGGGGAGAGACGAGAGATTAAGTACCGGACAGATAACCGGACTAGGACGGATGAGAGAGGGAGAGAGAACGCGTGGGAAACAGGGAAAGGACAGAGCAGCCAGAGGACTTGCTGTCATACGAAGTCGGATGGTGACAGGGGCCAAGCCAGACGCGACACTCGGCAGGCGCCGCCTGACGACCCTTCTTCCGCGGGGCGGGAGCAGCGCCCACCCACCACGTCCGTCCCGCCCCGCCCCCGGGGTCCGAGTCCCCTCCCCGCCTCGCGCCGCGGCCCCGCCCGTCCCGCCTCCCCCACCCCGCGCCCGGCCCGCGCCCTCCCGGCTCCGGGGGACCCGCGCTGGCCGATGCCGCCACCTGCCGGCCGGCCCCGTCCGCACCGCGGACCTCGAGGGCGCGGCGGCCGCGCAGGGTCGGAATCTGGCCCCTCCCCGGCGGGCCCGGCTCCGCGGGGTCTTTCCAGGAATCCGGGCCGGCCTGCTCACCCTCCGGCCGCCGCTCCGCCCGGCTGCGGACCCGGGGCGAGTCTCTGGACGCTGGGGCCTTAATTTCCCCTTTGTCAAAAGGAGGAAACGTACCAACACCTCCCTCAGGATTTCGGGCGCGGGGCGGGGTCGGGGGGGGACACAAATTTATCAATGCTGTGCTCCGGATCTGTCTTCCTCCACCCGGAAATCTCAGGTCACTTTGAAATCAGCCAGGCCGCCCCCTCCCAAAACACAGTGGGGTGACACCCCCCAACACACACACACACAATCCCCTCACAATCCACCCCTGGGCCTTCGCCTCCCCCCAACCTCTCCCCGTCCCCGGCCCCCGAAGTCCAGATGAGGAGGGGCGTCCTGCGGTCTGGCTGCCTCCGCCCGCATTCCCTCCGCCCTGCCCCGCCAGGCACGGCTCGCCCCCCTCCCGCCTAAGTCGGGGACACTTAGGAGCGGAGGACTTGGGACTTAGGAAGGCCTAACTCAGCACTCTGGAGCCGACCCCACCTTTTGGTTTTTTTAATCAATTAATCTCATCTACCTCCCAATTCCCAAAACCCACCCAAGACCTCTTCCCCTCCCTTTCCCCTCCCTGCCCGAGTCCGGCCCCTCCCGGGAGCATCGGCTCCGCCCCCGTCCCGAGGCGGGGCCCCATAGGTGGAGAGAAGTGGGAGAGGTCGCGGCCCCGCCTCTCCCCTCCTCCCCTAGACACGGAAGCTCAGTGGCCCCCACGCCAGGATGTCCCACGCTTGGGTCCCCGGCCTCGCTCCCGCCTTGCTGCTCAGCCTGCTGGCCGGCCTCCAACAGGTGAGCGCTTGGGAGGTAAGACTTCTCGGGCCCTACCCCCGTGGGTCGGGGGCCTGCTTCTGGAGCCTGTTCACCACCTCCCATTGTCAGGATTTCCTCATGACCACACGCAATTAGCAACTTCCTTTCTCTTTTTGCGGCGGAGGTGGAGGCGGGGGCCGCAGAGGAAGGCCCTGGAAAGCCTGACTCCTTTCACCTTCGAGGGGGTTTGTGTAGTGGGGACTGGCTCCTGCCCACCACCTATCCGACACCCAGCGCGCCTCTCTGTGAATGGGGACTTTGACCCCCGTATTGGTCTTGGCTGGTCCCTCCGGCTCCTTCCCATCTGCGTCAGAAAGTGGGGCCTGAGGTCTGGACGCCTGCGCCAGCACGTCTCCCCAGCTCTGTTCCTCCAGTGCTGGGTGACCTTGGGTATGGCCCAGCCCTCTCTGGGACTGTATCTCTCTGCTTGTACCCTAAAGGAGAAGGGCACTCGTCTCCTTCTGGGAGTGAGAGTAGAATTCCAGCCTGTGGATTTCACCTGGCTGCCTGACCCAAGGCTGGGGTGACCTCTGAAATCTTGGATTGAGAGTGAGGCAGGGTTTGAGCATTCCCTTGGCCTTCCGGTTCCTTCCACATAAACGCTACAGGTGATGGGGGAAGGTTGTCCAGTCCTGGGATGGGAGACCATTTTGGGAACTGAGATGGGTCTAGAACACACATTTTAAACTTATTTCCATTCAAGAATGGGAGGGAAGCCCCGGACCTGCTCCCCAGAACAGGACACCTTCACACAACTGGGCTGAGCTTTCAGAACAGCTCTGCCAAAGCCCATCCGTGGACCCATGGACCCGGGTTATAGAGCAGGGTATTCCTTCTGAATCTCTGGGTGAACAGTTTGTGTCAACACCCATCTGAGCATCGTGGTTGACTCCTGCCACCAGCCCCAGGGGCGAGGCTTTGTTAATGCCCCCGATCAGGAGTAAATTGAGATTGCCCAAGATCATGCTGACTCTTGCTCAAACTCAGTTTCTGAACCACCCTACATAAGAACACTGGATAAAATGGGGGGCTGAGGATCTGAGAGAAGAGCTCCTGCCCCTCCCAAACAGGAACTCAGGACTAATCACTCATCACTTAGTTGGGGTCCAGGAGAGGCAGGAGGGACAGAGTCTGGGACCTGCAAGGGGAAGGGGAGCTGCTGAGTGCCTGGAGCCCTTTGGTTTGTCTCTGACTCTGTAGTCGTCTCTATGTGCTCTGTGGTTTGGACTCAGACTCACACACTCTGGGACAACCTGCAGGGGGTCCTTCCCTTCTGTCCCCAGAAGGGGACAAAGCTTGTGAGAAGTTGTGCAGCAGCCTGGGACTGAGCACAGAGAAGAGGAATGACTCCAACTCTTACTGGCTATTGTTGGTATTGTTTTTTCTTTTCTTTTCTTTTTGTATCATTGGTATTCTTATCTCTACCATTGTAATTAGCAACTGAAATGTTACTTTAATTATTTTAAGTAAGGTATTGTCAAAGCTGGCTTCTTACTTTTGAGCTCTGGTTGTTTGTCCCAGGAGAGGATAGGGTGACAGATAACTGCCCCCAGTTTGCTGTGTTCCCACACCTACGTCCCTTCCCCACAGTCTGGGAGCAGCCAGGATGAAATGAAACCAGGTAATCAGTGAAAGCTCATTCATTCTGCAAATATTTTGACTGTTGGGTTTTCAACAGTGGTGAACAGACAAAATCCCTGCCTCTGTGGAGTTCGCACTCTACTGGGCCAACAGATAAAGTAAAATATATAGTATATTAGTTGTTGGTAAGAGCTGTGGAGAAAAATTAAGCACGCTAAGGAAGGGGAAGGAAATTGTTTTGGGGGAGTGATTGTGATTTTAAATAAGGTGATTAGAGAGGAAGGTGAAGGTGTTGGAGCCAGCCTTGCAGATACTTGGGAGAACAGTGTTCCAAGTAAGGCTTCGACACATAATTGCTATTAATGGAGTGAAATTCTGTGAGATGCCCTGGGTTCCCTGCAGAACTAATGCCAAAGAGGGAGGAGCTGGTTTGGGAGGGGCATCCTGGCAGATTTGCAGAGCAAGGAATCCCCCAGGCAGTTAGCCAAAGGATGAATGCTGCCCCCCGCCCCCCCAGTGTAAAACAGCCAGGTGTGTTCAGGGAACTCCCAGCAGGTGTGTGCAAGAGGGGGACAGGGGATATAGAAGTGAAGGGGAAGGGGCATTAGGCTGCTGGCTGGGGGTCTGTACCCCAGGGAGCCAGCAAAGGAGGCTTCCAGCAAGGTTGTTGGGGGTTACGATTTGCAGTCTAGGAAGAGTCCTGCCTGCCAGGTCTGGAGAGACTCTGGGTAGGGATGAGGAAAGCTGCTGGTGCCTGGACCATAGATGTGCGGGAAACTGGACTGGAAGGGTGGCCCGAAGGGAGGAGCTTGCAGTCTTGGGGATGAGGGAATGTGGTGTGGCGGGCTGGGGCTGGCCAGGAGTCAGCTGGGCTGCAACCATTGACCTGGGGACCCTGGAGGAGTCAGGTGGGGAGATGCTTGGGGGAGAAGCAGAGTCCATTGGGGACCTGCTGGCGTGAGGTACCTGGGCAACATCTGAGTGGAGACCCCACCCTCCAGGTTATGACCCCTGACCTCTGCCTCTTTTCTTCCACAGGCTGCAGCCACATGTGCCCTCTTCTTGTAAGTCTGGGACTTTGGCTGTAACTTCCAGTCTGGGGCGGAGTGGAGAAGAAACAACTCAAATCCTGCCCTGCATGGCTTCCTGGGGAGGGGGTGCCTCATCCCTCATCCTCACCCTCTCCCAATCCAGCCAGAAGCCATCTCTCTACTTTCCCACCCAGAGAGGGAGACTCCACCCCCTCCCTCCCTCTACCAACCAGCCAGTGGCGCAGTCTGTAGCCCAAACCTGAGCCTTCTTACTGCAGTGTCAGGTCATCTCCCCTCTGAGGGTCCCCTGTGGCGGGATGGGGCAGGGGAGGAAGGCAAACAGTGTGTGCTAACCTTAATATATAAATCCCATGAAGCCTGAGTGCAATGAGCAGGGGCTGGGGTGGGGTCTCTGGACAGAAAAGTGTTTCCATCAAGTCAGCACTGGGCATTCTGGGAGCACCCTTTCCCTGCCCCCCCTCACATGCCATGGATGCCGGGAAGGGCACAGTCCTCTATGAGTTAGCTCCTTCACACCCCACATTGCATCTTGTTCCATATCTCCTTAGAGTAAAATGAGTGACGTCATAGCCACTGCAATACTCAGTCCCCACGCCTGCCGGGTGAGTTTGACAAGGTGTTCATTCCACCTGTGTTACAGACAGGAGCGTAAGCAGTGAGAGTACGCAGTAATAGCTGGGCACAAGTGCACAAGGCCAGTTGTGAGATGAGCCTGGAACCCAGATCCTGAGTCCTGGCCCCAAGTTCCTCCTGCTGAGCTCAGAGGGGGCCGTACCTGGTGCCCTGAGAATATGGGTATATTGGGAGGGGGCTGGGATCCTTTCGTCTCTTGCCCTCCATACCAACAGCCTTTTTCTGCCCCCTGAGCAGAACCTGCCCCAAAGGACTGAAGTGCTGCGGTGAAAACTGCTGCCAAGAGAATGAGTTCTTCTCTGGCTCCTTAAGGTAAGTCAAGGGCCAGCTCCTCTGGACACAGTCCAAGAGGGGCCTGGACCACACAGGATGGGGCTGGATATGCCACCGGGGGGGGGGTTGGGGGGGTGGCTGTAGGTTGAGGGAGGGAAGTGTGGCTTCCTGGGGGCTCAGGGTGACGTTGATGGTCCCCCGCCAGGGTCTTCGTCATCATCTTCCTGGTCATCCTGCCCCTCTTGTGCATCTGTGGCCTGGCTAAGCGTTTCTGTCGCAACTGCAGAGAGCCGGAGCAGGACCCCCCAGTGGATCGCCAGGGGCCCCCGGAGCTGCCCTCCGTAGCCCCCCCAGAGACGGTCATGGCATCCATTGCTGAGCCACCACCCCCTTACAGTGAGGTGGGTGTCTCTGTCCCTGTCCCTACCCTGCTTCTCAGCTGGCTGTCCCTCCCTAGTGTCCAGATTGTTAGAACAGCAGGGACTGTGGAGGGCCTCACTCCTGCCAGGCCCCTGGGCCCCGGGGAAGGCTTTGCCCCCAGCATTGGGTCTGCTCTCTCCCTGGCAAGCATGCCTCAGCTGGCACGTGGGGGTGATGGCCAGTGCCAGGCCCTGAGGAGACTCTCAGTCCCTTCTTTACCCTGCAGGTCATTATGAAGCCCACCCTGGCCCTAACGCCCACAGAGCCCCCCCCTCCCTACAGCTTCAGGCCCGAAGAATATGGGGGTCAGAGGGGCATTGACAACCCAGCCTTCTGAGCTGCCTCCTGCCTGGAATCCTGCCGACAGCAGCCTCCTCCCCAGCACCTCCTGGAGCAAGCCAGAGACTTCTGGAACCCTGGAATGCACACCCGCCATCCTGCCATGGCACTGGTCCTTCTTGGATTTAACTTATTATTTTTTTCTGCTTCTGTTCCACTCGGCTGCCTCTCTTGTCCCGAGGGCTGAGCTGGAGCGACAGTACCTGTTCCCACCCAACCTGCGTTAGAGGCTGCCAGGAGGAAAATGCCAGCTGTTGGAAGTGCCCAGCAGTGGAATGGGCTACTCTGAGGGGTGGTAAGAGCCCCATTTTTGGAGGTATGCAAATCTCCAGTGGACAGCCAGCTCTGAGATATTTTGAGGGCACCTCTGTGCCCACGGGAGATTGGACTAGATGAGCTCTGAGCCACCTTGAATTCTGCCTGAGCAGAGAAGACCTCATTGTACCCCCTAACACATGCACAAAGTACTGTACTCACTAAATTTGAGCAGATTGTGGCCGAGAGTCTGCCTCTGGCTGTGTGGGGAGGTGGGCAGGGTGGTGAGCCCAGGCACAGCAAGGGTGGGGGAGTCACTCTGCCGAAATGGCACCAACGATGAACCCTTCAGGAGGATAGTCATCCATGGGCCGCCCTTGGGGAAAGGCTCTTTGTGATGCTTTGACCTCCAGTTCCTTGAGGTCTCTGGTTGTTAAAGAGCCTAGAAACAGGGTGGGAGTGACCACTGTGTGGGCCTCCGAGCCATCCTCCTGCTGCTTTCCCTGGGAGACATGGAGCGGTCTTACCATGAGTTGGTGAGAAGTTGGCTAGAAGGGGTTGGATCCAGGAGGCAGCCCAGGGTCAGCCTGGAAACGACCTGCTGGGAGAAGGTGAGGGTGAGGAGGCCAAGGAGAGGGGAGTGGGCGGGGCGGGCATCTGTGGAGTGAGGCCTGGGAGACCTTGCTCGGCCACACCCTGGAATCTTCTGGAGGGAGGGGAGGAGATGCAGGTCCCGCCCTTCTCTAGCCCTGAGGTTACCTGCCCTTCTCCAGCCCTGAGGTTATGGACTGCCACTCTGCCCCACCTGCAGGAGTTAACCCCTAAGGGGAAAGACGCATTTATCATGGCAGGGCAGGAGCTCACGGGCGGGCCTGCAGCAGAGCGTGGAGCTGAGGCCCAGGCCTGGCCGTGCAGAGTGAGGGAGACCTGGTGCCAGTGTCCTGGGGCTCAGGCAGGGCTGGGCGCCTCCACCCTGAGCCTTGCCTTTGCACGGCTCACTGCACCCTGCTCAATGGTAGCTTCCTCTCCAGGGCTCTCCCAATAATACCGATCCTTGGGGCATCAGGACCCAGGCAGGTGGCAGGGTCAGGGATGGGGAGGTGGCACAGGCATCCCCAAAGATGCCAGGACCAGGGGCTGTGCAGGTGCGGCTTTCTGGGGGAGACAGGGTCCCAGGGTGATTACAAACAATGACTACTGACAGGATAGTATCAGAGTTGGCTTTAGGAGAATGAGCCCAACCACAAATGGAAGTTTCCCTTCAGTTTCAGGGATTAGTGGGGGGTAGCAGGAGGAAAATATGTGGGTGCTTTGTGTAGATGCGGCCTGTTCCAGCTAGAGGTAGATGCGGCCTGTTCCAGCTAGAGGTAGATGTGGCCTATTCCAGCTAGAGAAGTCCCAGAGCATATGTTGCCCTCACCGTGGTGAACGCTTGCCCTCGTGGGAGAATACTGAGCAGTGGGCTTGGGAGACTCAGAGAAGGTCACCCTCAGCTTGGACGTTGCCTTCCTTTCATCAAAGACCACACAGGATTTTTTTTTTTTTTTTTTTTTTTTTGAGACAGAGTCTCACTATGTTGCCCAGGCTAGAGTGCCGTGGCGTCAGCCTAGCTCACAGCAACCTCAGACTCCTGGGCTCAAGCAGTCCCCTGCCTCAGCCTCTCAAGTAGCTGGGACTACAGACATGCGCCACCATGCCCGGCTAATTTTGTCTATATATTTTTTAGTTATCCAATTAATTCCTTTCTAATTTTGGTAGAGACGGGGTCTCGCTCTTGCTCAGGCTGGTTTCGAACTCCTGAGCTCAAACAATCCGCCCGCCTCGGCCTCCCAGAGAGCTAGGATTACAGGCGTGAGCCACCGCGCTCGGCCACCACACAGGGGTTTTAACCGCTCCTGCTTGCAGCAACAGAGTGGCTGTCCTGAGGCCCGGTGTTGCTGCAACCTGGTGGCAGAAATGGCCATTTCTGTGGCTCTCCTCGTCATTCTCAGTGGGAGAAGAAATGGTGTGACCTTCTTAGAGGGCGACCTAGCACCATCCATTCATGCCACAGATATTTACAAAGCTCCTACTATGTGTGAGGCACTATGCCCAGCACTGGGTATCCATTAAAATGTAAAGTATACATGACCTAGCAATTCCAGGTCTAGAAATGAGCCTTCAGAAGTGCTTACACCAAAGAGCTCACTCGGATGTCCATCGCGGCATTATAGCTGAGGCAGGGAATGAAAGCATCTTAAACGCCCATTGACAGAAGCCTGTTAAATAAACCGAGTACATCCGAACTGTGAATGCTGGGCAGCCTTGTAAAAGGACAAAGAGTCTGCAGCGCCAACGCTGCACAATGCCCGTCATTGATTGTGACAGAGAAAAGGCAAGTTGCAGAACAAGGCCTATGATCTCAATTTCTAAGTATATACTCCATACTTTTTATATGTATATTTTTTTCTTTGCAAATATATAGACAAGATCCAGAAAGGTATGAACCAAACCACATTCGCCGCACTTTTAACAGTTGTTGGCACCAGGAAGGGAAGAAGCCAATTGCATAGAAGGCTTTTTACTTCACGTGCTTGGGCATCGCGTGTGTGTTTTACAACGAGCGAGCGTTGTTTCTGAGCGAGCATCGTTTCTGTACGTTGAGAAGATTTGTTTACTGGGAAATACAGGCAGCTTTAGAAGCTCGTGCAGATTCACCTTGTGAACTTTGATCAATGGCCATTGATATGTTATCAGCTCTGCTATGAGGAAGAGGCTAGAAAGACTTTAGATATGTGACACACACATGACATGTACATGACCCCGGGAACAGAGACATGATGGACATGGAAAGCTTGGGCACCTGCCGGACATGTGAAACCCACATGTCCCACTTACGCAGGACTCATGTCAAGCAGTGAGTATCCACTGGAGGAGAGAAACAGTGAGCTGATGCTGGCTGGGCAGTTGCGTGGCTTAGCAATTGCACAGTGACGGAGAACTCATCCTTGAGGCTGGTCTAGCAGCTCAAACCCAATGAATGAATAATGAAAGATGGAATCGCGGAATGAAGGAGTGAGTAAATGAGTGCATGCATGAATGAATGTGGAGTTCTGCCCCTGGATACTTGTAAAGAAACACAGGGCCTGGCTAACACGAAGGAGGTGTTCCTCATGGCTGTGCACTTGAACTTCTATCTGCAGGGTAGGGGGGAGGGATGTGAAGGGGGAGGGTCTTAGAGCACTTGCCCCAGGGACAGAGAGGGGAGGAGGAAAGGGCTGTGGCTGGGGGAAGTGGGGAGAACCCCAGCAAGAATCTCCCCACCCCCTCCAGCTGAGATGCAGAGCACCGGCTTCTGACATTTTGCTTTCTGCAACCAACATCTCCAGGCGGCAGAGTCCCCGTCTGTACCATGAAGACGCCAGTCCCTTCCGGCTCTGGCAGGAGGTGGCTGGGAAGGGCCGAGTGAGAGAATTCAGAGAACTCCTTAATGCCAACAGCCTTTCCCTCACCCCACCTCACCACACACACAGTGGATGGGCTTCATCTCACCAGCCCTGACCACCTCCAACCTCCCACTGTCTGGACGTCACCTCCTGGTCTCCAGGTGCTGCATTACCGCCATGCTGGCAGTCCTGTGAGCCACCAAGCCCCCCAAGCCATTGGCCTCCCCCCGTCCAATCAAGCAGTGCCATCGCCACGTCCTTGATCCGTCCTTACCATCACTCCCTGCACCAAACCCCTGTACCCCTTTTCTCCATCCAGTGTACACACCTGGCGAAACCCCAAACTCCCTTTGGACCCAACTAGTCCTCAAGTCCCAGCGCACCTGTGAGAATGGACTTGCTTCCAAATCAAGACTGCAAGTCTCACGCCAGCCCTCAGCTCCTCCGACATGTCTTAGCCACTTCTCATCCTCTCTCCTGAGGTGACTAATTCATACCTCCAACTCTCTTCAAGTCTCCCACCCCTCAACCTCAATTTCAGCTGGTGACGTCACCACATGCCTCAGGGAAAAAATGGATGCAATCACACAGGAACCACCCCATTCCCACCCCTGCCAGCCCAGTCCCCACACGTGCCTCCTTCCCTCAGGTGCAGTGGAAGCCGCATCCCGATTGGCCAATTGGCCACGGGGTCCCATGCTACCCCCCAGCCGGGGCCTCACCCCTGCAGTTATTCCCACAGCAGCAGGGTTCCTCCCTCCTTCCCGGAGCCTTATCACCTGTTTATGATGTGCCGCCTTCCCGTGTCCCCCATGCCCTCAGTGCCTTGGCGTCTGCTTTCCCATTTCCTCCCTCCCCATCGCATTCCGTGCTGCTCTAGTCAGCCTTTTGTCCCCATGATTACATGAAATGACTGTTGTCCACATCATCAGTGACCTACATCTTGCTGGAGCCAAAGGTCCCTTCTCTGGCCTCATTTCTCAGTGGCATTTATCACACTTGGCCACTGCCTCCTTCTTTAACAACTTTCTTGTTTAGACTTCCCTGACTCCACCTTCCCCTGGTTTTCCTCCTGCTCCCTGGCTGCTCCTTCCCGGGCTCCTTCCCTTCTCCCTCCTCCTGCACCCTCTCTGAGTGATGGTGGACCTGGAGGTCTGTCTTTGGCTCTCTGGTTGTAGTGGCTGTCCTCCAGTCCAGTGGCTTCACAGACCATCTATTGTCTGATGAATCTCAGATCTTTATCTCCAGACAGGACTTCTCCCTGGAGCTCCAGGCTCTTATATTTACCTCCCCAACACTCCGCTTGGATGCCAATGAGCATCCTGCAAGCAACTTAGGCTCCACTTTCCCTCCCCTCGCCCCCATCCAGTCCTTCCCAAGGTGTCCTGTCATAAATACGTGGCACCCCATTCATCCAGCTGTTCAGGCTAAAAAACTAAGGGGCTGTTCTGTGTTCTGATTTCTCTCTTTCCCGCGCCTCTTCATCCTCCTGGGGCTACCTCCAAAGTAGCCGCACGTCCACATTTCACCATTTCACCGTCGCAGCCCTTGCCCGAGCCACGGTCGTCTCAAGCCCAGACTAACCTCACTGCTTCTCCGGCATCACGCTCGTCTCCATCTGGCCCCTGCAGTTTGTGCTACACACTGCACTTAGGGGCATCTTGCTAAAGCATAGATAGGACATGTCACTCCCTTGCTTAAAATCCTCTAAGGCTTGCCCATTGCACTTAGAATAAACTCCAAACCCCTGATGGCAGCCAGGGGGACTTAGGAGGTGCAGTCCCTCCCTTCCCCTCTGACAGCTTCTCCT